AAGCAGCACCATTACTATTATATTCACAAACTCGACAAAACGTGTGCTGACAATGATCACACCAAGTAGTGTGGTACATCAGAATCTGAAGGATATATTCAGGCTTGGGTGGCACACACTTTCTTTGAAGCCAGGTTATTTGGGGGTATTCTGTTAGTTTTATAAACTTGCACACACATTTAACTTCAGACATTTTACTTTTACATCAGCATGTTAAAACTTAGAGAAATATGTTTTGCAAGGTTTCCGAAGACCTGGGACCTGGCTCTTGTTCCACAAAGCGATCTTAGTGCTACGTTGATCATAAGCCAATGACAAAGTATGGGAGTTGTCACCAACTTAGCACTAAGATCACTTTGCAGAACAGGATCCTTGTGATTTTAAAACAAACAAACAAACAAACAAACAAACAAACAAACAAACAACCCAAAAAATACATTTGTTGTCCTTTAAGAACCCAAAGGGAAACCTGCCTGTAAGCTCAGCAACTGATAAGTTCTATGTATGGCACTTTACATTATAAGTCGTCATATCAAATATGTCAATTAAATTAACTTTGTATAACACGTGACAAAACTTTGATATACACTGATGCTTCATGTAAAAATAGTTACAAGCTTTCAAGACATACAGGTGTTGTCATGGCCACACATTACACTCGGAGCAAGACAAATCATGTTCAGGAAGGACTACAGCAGTGTTTCTTCATAATGTTGCAATGCCACCAGATGAAAACGAGAGTGTATTTCTTGAACTTTGTGGTACTGTAAAGATCAATACTGATGCTAGGATGGACCAACAGTCTTATCAGGTATGCATTAGTGTTCCACACCCTGGGCACCTCAGTGCTCTAACCTCACCTTGCAAATAGCACACGTCCACACTCATCAGACACAGGTCACAGACAGAGGGTTGAGGAAGTTGATCAGAGGACAACAGACGTGGGTTACAGACAGAGGGTTGAGGGAGTTGAACAGAGGACAACAGACGTGGGTTACAGATGGAGGGTTGAGGGAGTTGAACAGAGGACAACAGACGTGGGTTACAGATGGAGGGTTGAGGGAGTTGATCAGGGCAGAATAGACGTTGGTTACAGACTGAGGGTTGAGGGTGTTGAACAGAGGACAACAGACATGGGTTACAGATGGAGGGTTGAGGGTGTTGAACAGAGGACAACAGACATGGGTTACAGATGGAGGGTTGAGGGTGTTGAACAGAGGACAACAGACATGGGTTACAGATGGAGGGTTGAGGGTGTTGAACAGAGGACAACAGACACGGGTTACAGATGGAGGGTTGAGGGTGTTGAACAGAGGACAACAGACATGGGTTACAGATGGAGGGTTGAGGGTGTTGAACAGAGGACAACAGACATGGGTTACAGATGGAGGGTTGAGGGTGTTGAACAGAGGACAACAGACATGGGTTACAGACAGAGGGTTGAGGGAGTTGATCAGGGCAGAATAGACGTGGGTTACAGACGGAGGGTTGAGGGAGTTGATCAGGGCAGAATAGACGTTGGTTACAGACGGAGGGTTGAGGAAGTTGATCAGAGGACTACAGATGTGGGTTACAGACGGAGGGTTGAGGGTGTTGAACAGAGGACAACAGACATGGGTTACAGATGGAGGGTTGAGGGTGTTGAACAGAGGACAACAGACATGGGTTACAGATGGAGGGTTGAGGGTGTTGAACAGAGGACAACAGACATGGGTTACAGATGGAGGGTTGAGGGTGTTGAACAGAGGACAACAGACATGGGTTACAGATGGAGGGTTGAGGGTGTTGAACAGAGGACAACAGACATGGGTTACAGATGGAGGGTTGAGGGTGTTGAACAGAGGACAACAGACATGGGTTACAGATGGAGGGTTGAGGGTGTTGAACAGAGGACAACAGACATGGGTTACAGATGGAGGGTTGAGGGTGTTGAACAGAGGACAACAGACATGGGTTACAGACAGAGGGTTGAGGGAGTTGATCAGGGCAGAATAGACGTGGGTTACAGACGGAGGGTTGAGGGAGTTGATCAGGGCAGAATAGACGTTGGTTACAGACGGAGGGTTGAGGAAGTTGATCAGAGGACTACAGATGTGGGTTACAGACAGAGGGTTGAGGGTGTTGAACAGAGGACAACAGACATGGGTTACAGACGGAGGGTTGAGGGTGTTGAACATGGTGGAACAGACATGGGTTACAGACAGATGGTTGATTGTTGATTGTCTATTGTTCAAACTATCAACAATTGTCTGATAGCTTCTTTACTTCATGCTATCATACTGGCTGATTGTCAAAGATTGCAGCGATATATCTGTAATACTGCCAGCTATGGGCCATCATTGTAAAGCTGTAATTCACTCTTCCTTGTGGAAACCCATTATGTACCCAATGCATGTTTACACAACAAGTTCCCCTGGACCAGTTGCACTGAGCAGCCTTACAAGACCTGTTCTTAGATTAATGACCATGTCTTTAACATAGAAAGCTATTTATAATGCTAACATCCCTTTAAGGAACAGGATCTACAGAGGCAATGTTGTGCTACAATAACCCTACATGTTCCACAGGGCAAGCCAGATCAACAGGATCTACAGAGGCAACTTTGTGCTACAATAACCCTACATGTTCCACAGGACAAGCCAGATCAACAGGATCTCCAGAGGCAACTTTGTGCTACAATAACCCTACATGTTCCACAGGACAAGCCAGATCAACAGGATCTACAGGAGCAACTTTGTGCTACAATAACCCTACATGTTCCACAGTACAAGCCAGATCAACAGGATCTCCAGAGGCAACTTTGTGCTACAATAACCCTACATGTTCCACAGGACAAGCCAGATCAACAGGATCTACAGGAGCAACTTTGTGCCACAATAACCCTACATGTTCCACAGTACAAGCCAGATCAACAGGATCTCCAGAGGCAACTTTGTGCTACAATAACCTACATGTTCCACAGGGCAAGCCAGATCAACAGGATCTACAGGAGCAACTTTGTGCTACAATAACCCTACATGTTCCACAGGGCAAGCCAGATCAACAGGATCTCCAGCGGCAACTGTATGCTACAATAACCCTACATGTTCCACAGGGCAAGCCAGATCAACAGGATCTCCAGCGGCAACTGTGTGCTACAATAACCCTACATGTTCCACAGTACAAGCCAGATCAACAGGATCTCCAGCAGAACGTCTTTTCCACATGATCTCATGTTTGCCAGAAGTCACAATCAACTGTCATTTGGATTCTCCTCAAATTCTTTCCTATTCACTTCATATATTTTACCATCTTTTGAACCATTGTCAACACGTTATATCTTCCAAAGATTACAGTCGGCCACCTGTGTATGCAATGGCATGAGTGCCTTGTGCTTCTGAAACCTTCATATTAGCTTAAGGCATCCTTTGACACCCATAGAGCATTGTGGGCCATTGAATGCTGGAACGAGTGATGAGCTGAGTTGAGCTGGTTACCTTCCCAGGAGGATGTTAGCTTAATAAGACATCAATACAGATCACTAGAACTAACAGACGCCACCTGACTCTAAAGAGTTTAAGATTCATCAACACTTGTACTCTGACAACTTATTCACTAAGGTGTTCAGGAAGAAATCCTTCGTGTTTAGCAAACTATTACTGGGTGGGCAAAGATGGTTACATTGTCAAACAGCTGGCTCAGACCTCAATATGAATTAGCAGTGGTTCAGTGATGATTACCTGCACAATGTTTATGTCAATTGTTCAGTCAACTACAATAGCTGTCAATATGACATTTCACATACATGCGACCACAAAGAATTCAAAACCGTTGCTGTAGCAATGTCACAATGTCATTACCCTTGAAACCTTTTACTGTTATGAAAACCATGAAACTGAAACAGGTGGAGGCTGCTGATGCATGAACAAAGAGAAAGGTTGGACAATTTGGTAAAGTGATACAGTGACCCTCATAAACTGTAATCCCGTATCTCCTTAGTCCAGCCAGAAATGTATTCAAGGCTTACAGTCCTGCCAGGAATGTGTTCAAGGCTTACAGTCCTGCCAGGAATGTGTTCAAGGCTTACAGTCCTGCCATGAATGTGTTCAAGGCTTACAGTCCTGCCAGGAACGTGTTCAAGGCTGACAGTCCTGCCAGGAATGTATTCAAGGCTGACAGTCCTGCCAGGAATGTGTTCAAGGCTTTCAGTCCTGCCAGGAATGTGTTCAAGGCTTACAGTCCTGCCATGAATGTGTTCAAGGCTGACAGTCCTGCCAGGAATGTATTCAAGGCGTACAGTCCTGCCATGAATGTGTTCAAGGCTGACAGTCCTGCCAGGAACGTGTTCAAGGCTGACAGTCCTGCCAGGAATGTATTCAAGGCTTACAGTCCTGCCATGTATGTGTTCAAGGCTTACAGCCCTGCCATGTATGTGTTCAAGGCTTACAGTCCTGCCAGGAATGTGTTCCAGGCTTACAGTCCTGCCAGGAATGTGTTCAAGGCTTTCAGTCCTGCCAGGAATGTGTTCAAGGCTTACAGTCTTGCCATGTATGTGTTCAAGGCTTACAGTCCTGCCAGGAATGTGTTCCAGGCTTACTGTCCTGCCAGGAATGTGTTCAAGGCTTACAGTCCTGCCAGGAATATGTTCAAGGCTGACAGTCCTGCCATGAATGTATTCAAGGCATACAGTCCTGCCAGGAATGTGTTCAAGGCTTACAGTCCTGCCAGGAATGTGTTCAAGGATTGCATTCCTGCCATGAATATGTTCAAGGCTTTCAGTCCTGCCATGAATGTGTTCAAGGATTGCAGTCCTGCCAGGAATATGTTCAAGGCTTTCAGTCCTGCAAGGAACTTGTTCAAAGCTTACAGTCCTGCCATGAATGTGTTCAAGGCGTACAGTCCTGCCATGAATGTGTTCATGGCTTAATTACTGGCCTGCCAGGACTGTGTTCAAAGCTTACTGGCCTGCCAGGACTGTGTTCAAAGCTTACAGTCCTGCAATAACTGTGTTCAACACTTACCATGAAGCCCTTGTACCACTTGAGAATTTCGCCCTTCTCAAAGTTGGTGTTGGACACAAGGAACTCGATGTCCTCATCTGGCAGTTTCTTGGAGTTGCAGCATCCCATCCTGGCCTGAAGGTACGCCTCTGGTCATCGACCTGCAACAATAGAATACCATTACTCATCTGTGTGATGCTGATTCCTTAGCATCTCATGTCCTGATGGCAACATATGTCCCCCTTCCTCACTCACTAACACAATGACCTATCCTTGAAAACCCTTTGAACCATACTCAGATTTATTAACTGCATGGTGCAAAGGTTCCAGGGAAGAATAGATCGCCAGTATCCCTGATTGTCACCCCATCAAATTCCAGGGAAGAATAGATCACCAGTACCCCTGCTTGTCACCCCGTCAGATTCCAGGGAAAAATAGATCCCCTGAGTACCACATGCTAAAATGGGGATCAGTTTGGAGCAAAGCATGATCAGGTGGATAATAAATTATCAGACCTAAAAAATGTCCCTTTGCCATCACTCTCAATCCTTCATTTGTCTGGTCCAGTCACACAAAATAACAGCACAAGAAATAAATTTACCAACAAAATATGCTTTCCCTGCCATTGGTTACATGCAAGAGACGTTTCTAGACATATCAATATCACCTTTCCTAAGTTCAAATTGACACTGACAAAAAAAGATGTTTTTGTCATAATTCACCCTGTCCTGATCTCATGGTTCTGATCACTCAGTTGTTGTAATATAAACAGCTAAATGTGGAAGGTCACTGACCTGGTAATTGACCAGTTGCCATGTGACCAGCTCATGGCAAGAGAGAAAGACTGATAGGTGTAAAAGACTCCATGCTATCAAGCTGTGATACTAGCAATGCTATCGCCATCAATCTGCGACTATGACAGACAATTACAGGCATTATGTCTGAAACAAGCCCTTTCTGACGCAAACTGTACAGTATTTAATTACAATTTTCTGCAACAGCTGTACCAATCATGATGGCCGGTCTGAACATAATCACCTCATTTTCAAATGATCAGTGCTCACTTAGAAAACTACTATCCACACAACAAATTAAAATAACTTAGACATCAAAGAAATCCCAGACTTACAGGTCATCATATCAAGGACGCACAATCACCAACGCTGTTCAATATCACGAATGCACGGCATGTATTTTGAATTATTTAACCATTCCATGTATAAGCATTAATACTTGAGTGTTGACAGGAAATAATTACATGACTTGTCATTACGTTACAAAATAATATTTTCCACCTTTCCATCGTCATGTGATTTTCCCATCAATATTCTAGGAAATATCTCACCTTTATGGGACGATGAGGTTAAACCTCAGCAGCCATCGAGACCACTCATTCTTATGCATTGAAATTGTGGCTGCGTGTTCCCAATGCCACAGTGATTCATAATGTTGCAGATATAGCACCAGTAACACTCAGCCCTCAAGCTAGGGCAAATATCAGTGGGTGCAGGCATCGAATTCAAATCAGCTAAATATGCATGAAAAACATGAATTATATTCACACTATCAGTAACTTAAACAATTATGTAGAGGTTTGTGAGAACTCAATCAAATTATTTCTGCATTTTTTTACACATCTGTGTATGATTTCTAAGTTGTTAAATACCATTGAACATTCTTGACATAAGTACACCCAAAGGACCTTCAGCATCTAAATAATCTTTAATAACAAGAGAATAATTACTGTTGTACAATAACATTATATATTACTGATAATACAACTTGTAACCCCACTAATTCAGGGCTGTATGAACTTTGCTATATCTGGAGTTGCTGGAATTGTCATCAGTTCTTTGTTTCGATTTTTTTTCTTAAGATCTGATCTAATGGCTGAATTGGATTTTTGAGTATTGTGGCGCCTAAGTTGACTGGCCACCCATGCACGCCCTACTCCTGATAGAAGCCATATAGCCATAGCCACAACAGCTGGTATGTAGAGCTTCCTCATCCAAGGCAGCACACCTTTTACACAGAAATCAATAATATATTCATTGGAACAAAATTTAAAGACGTCACCAGTTTGAAAAAGATGTTTTGAGGATGTTTGTTATCCGTCGAAACAGATAATGAACATCGCGATTGGGGATTTGCTTCACTTGATGTATGATAACGCTAATTGTACTGACAGCTTCGGAATCACACCAGTAATTATCAGGCATATTTGGACATTTTCCTCTCCAAGATAACTTCCTTATCTTCAATTTGTGGAAAGTGTCTGGCCAATCAGCAGTGTGTTGAAATGTCCCTACCTGACACAGCTGTTACACAATATATCACACTGTAGCAGAAGTCATCCAATTGTTAATATAGCACATTACCCAGCTTCCAGTGGGAGTGAGTGAGTGAGTGAGTGAGTGAGTGTTTGTTTTTTAAAGCTGCACTCTGCAATATTCCAGCCTTTTGACAGTGGTCTGTAAATAATCGAGTCTGGACCCGATATTCCAGTGATTGACATCATGAACATCGGTCCATGCAATTAAAAATTGGGGTACGATGACATGACCCAACCAAGTCACCGAGCCTGACCATCCGATCCCAATGCCTCTGACGACAAGTGAGTCGCCTTTTACAGCCAGCATGGGTTGCTGAAGGCCTATGCTCGGCCAGATCTTCACGGAGTGAGTGAGTGAGTGAGTGAGTGAGTGAGAGAGTGAGTGAGTGAATGAAAGTGATATCCTGCTCCCAGCTGTAGTGCAACAATAAATTGGCAAGTGAGCAGACAATGAGTGAGGGAATGTTAATATTCCAGGTCTATTGCTGTGCCCAAAATGATACAGTCTGGACCAAGGTAACCAGTGACTGATCGCATGAGCAATGACTATGCAATTGGGATACAAGACACCATCAGTCTCCATACACTGTAAACGATAGCCCAAAAAGCCTGGGTCTGTGTAACAAACAAGTAACAGCACCTACCACTAGACCTTCCCTTTGCAGAGTACAGATTGAAAGATATAATACAAAATTAATTTGATAATTCAGTATAGATTTAATTTAATACGCATGTTCCGACCTTTTATAATTAGAACTCATGCATTGATAGCTTTCTCAAGTAAATGGCATTCGTGAAATCATTTATATTTCATGACCGCGCAGGAAAGAACCAGCATGTATTTGAAACACAGCTGTAATCTGTTAGAGGAACAATGTTTATGATCTTCCACATGGGAAAGAAGGATATAATATGATCCAGAGGGAGGGTAATCACAATGTTCATTTCAGCATAATACTCAAAGAAGCAATAACGGACCATGGACCAGTCTGGACGCAAGGACCAGTAATCCATAAGGACCACTGATGCAACATGAACCTGTCGTGTAACAAATTGACCAAGGACCATGGCTTTCAGGGCGTCACTGGTGCAAGGTCAGACAAAGAACAGTGATTCAGGGCATGGCTTTCAGGGCGTCACTGGTGCAAGGTCAGACAAAGAACAGTGATTCAGGGCATGGCTTTCAGGGCGTCACTGGTGCAAGGTCAGACAAAGAATAGTGATTCAGGGCATGGCTTTCAGGGCGTCACTGGTGCAGGGTCAGACAAGAACAGTGATTCAGGGCATGGCTTTCAGGGCGTCACTGGTGCAAGGTCAGACAAAGAACAGTGATTCAGGGCATAGCTTTCAGGGCGTCACTGGTGCAAGGTCAGACAAAGAACAGTGATTCAGGGCATGGCTTTCAGGGCGTCACTGGTGCAAGGTCAGACAAAGAGCTGTGATTCAGGGCATGACTATCTTCACTGGTGTAATGTCAGTGTGCACGGTGATTCAGGGCATGGTTTTCAGAGCATGACTGGTGCAGCACCTGTACTCTACTTTCTGTCCATATAATAAAGTGTTTATTTCACAATAAAGTTCTGTCATAAAAGAATAAATAATACAGATTTTAACATAAAAGGGACTGCAATAAAGAAATTGTAAAGTTTCATGGAGATTTCCTTTAAATGGGAAGAACTCCAATTACAAACACGTTTCAGCGTCAATGCACACCTTGAAAAGGTGCAATGGGGGTGGGGGGCAAATATCCAGGGCTGACGAGGGTATGAAAGAGAATAGATAATGGCCTGCACCTACTGTGACATGGTGGCATTTTTTTCCTATTGAATAATTAACATTACAATACAAAAGAAGTTTTGATATCTGCTGATTTCAAACTCCAGACAGAAATGATTTTTGTATTTTTTTACAATCCTATGTCTTAAAAGCAAAGGCTTAAAAAAGGACCGGATAGAAATTGAAATCAGATATTATGAAACATGACTTTGCTCTCACAGTTTGTCAAAGCTGTGGTGGATGACAAGCTTGTCCGGAAAAGGACTTATATGTGATGCAGGAACATGTTGTTGTAAGTTCCCTGTCAGAAACACACTGCTTAGTCCGACTACATATTACGAAGAAAGCATCAGGCATATTGCCTCTAGATTGAATGGACCCTTAAAGGAGGTATCTTTACCATCCAAATCATTTAACAGAATCTGTAGACATATGAACAGAATAAGATTTGTTATGAGACAAGCTGGATCCTACAAAAAGACAAAAATATCTTTTAATCAACTATTACAGCTGAAAAATATATTGTAATGAAGCAAAGAAAAGTTATACTATCAAACACCATTTGGTTTCACAACTGTCTTCTTTCAAGACATTCCTATCAGTGTCTCCTGGAGGGAAATATATGAAGGACTTCCTCATATTTGAATGGGAATTGAGGAGGAAGATATAATTGATGAAGCCTATACCCAACCCCTTCTCAGCTCTAGCAGCCTGTAACTAACTTCTTCTCAGCTCTAGCAGCCTGTAACTAACTCCTTCTCAGCTCTAGCAGCCTGTAACTAACTCCTTCTCAGCTCTAGCAGCCTGTAACTAACTTCTTCTCAGCTCTAGCAGCCTGTAACTAACTCCTTCTCAGCTCTAGCTGCCTGTAACTAACTCCTTCTCAGCTCTAGCAGCCTGTAACTAACTCCTTCTCAGCTCTAGCAGCCTGTAACTAACTCCTTCTCAGCTCTAGCTGCCTGTAACTAACTCCTTCTCAGCTCTAGCAGCCTGTAACTAACTCCTTCTCAGCTCTAGCAGCCTCTAACTAACTCCTTCTCAGCTCCAGCTGCC